ATGGGCATATTTTTCGGCCAAGCCCACGGGCTCGGAGAACCCCACAATAAATAACCGACCTTGTGTCACTTGTTGTCCCAGTGGGGGGGGGAGGCTAAATATCGTCAGTCGCTCAAGTCTTGAACGACAGATCGGTTGAACTCTCTGCCTTCGGGCAAGGAGGAACCCGAAAGAGGCTACGCCGAAGGGCGGATTCTCTTTAGGGGAGGTAAACTGACCCTGAACCCGTTTATTCGGGTTCAATGGGCATATTTTTGGCCGAGCCCACGTTAAAAAGACCTTGTGCCACATGACGCACTCGTGGTGGAGGTGAATGAATATCATCAGTAGTTCAAGTCGAGTCAAGAGTCGAGTCAGAGGCAGTCCGAAACAGAGTCGCGTTCCGACAATTACTGCAAGACATTGGAATAGTGATACTGGTCGAGACTACATTGTTCTCTCTACTAAACCTGATTGTTTATACTAACACTTCTACTTCTCTGTATATATTCCTGTTTGTAATATATGAGTGTTATTCCATACATAGTTCTTTATTGGTTCTACCTTGGACTATCACCGTGGTACAAGGAACCGGACAATAACAGAAAGAAATAGAGAAAGTGTGAAAGAAAAGAAGAGACAGTGAAATAAATAGAGAAAGATGGAAAGAAATAGAGAAAGGATGAAAGAAAGAAAGAACGAAGATGTTTTTGACTTGAGAAAGAAAGTTGCATGTGATTAAAAATAAGTAAGAAATCAATACAAAAAAGAAGACATTTGCAATTAACGTCAAAAAGACGTAAGTTTGTAATTAATAAAGAAATAAAGAAAAGTAAATCATTTCTGAGTAAATAAATAAAGGAGAATGTGATTAAAGAAAGAAAGAAAGAAAGAAAGGAAGGACGGATGGAAAGAAAGAAAGAAAGAAATAAAGAAAGAAAGAATGAAAAGAAAGAAAGAAAGAAAGAAAGAAAGAAAGAAAGAAAGAAAAAAGAAAGAAAGAAAGAAAGGAAGGAAGGAAGGATGGAAAGAAAGAAAGAATGAAAGGAAGGAAGGAAAGAAAGAAAGAAAGAAAGGAAGGAAGGGAGGAAAGAAAGAAAGAAAGAAAGAAAGATAGGAAGGACGGATGGAAAGAAAGAAAGAAAGAAAGAAAGAAAGAAAGAAAGAAAGAAAGAAAGAAAAAAGAAAGAAAGAAAGGAAGGAAGGAAGGATGGAAAGAAAGAAAGAATGAAAGGAAGGAAGGAAAGAAAGAAAGAAAGAAAGAAAGGAAGGAAGGAAGGGAGGAAGGAAAGAAAGAAAGAAAGATAGGAAGGACGGATGGAAAGAAAGAAAGAAAGAAAGAAAGAAAGAAAGAAAGAAAGAAAAAAAAAGAAAGAAAGAAAAAAGAAAGAAAGAAAGGGAAGGAAGGAAGGAAGGATGGAAAGAAAAAGAAGATGAAAGGAAGGAAGGAAAAAAGAAAGAAAGGAAGGAAGGAAGGAAGGAAGGAAGGAAAGAAAGAAAGAAAAAAAAGAAAGAAAAGAAAAGATAGGAAGGACAGATGGAAAGAAAGAAAGAAAGAAAGAAAGAATGAAAGGAAAGAAGAAAGGAAAGAAAGAAAAAAAAAAGAAAAAGAAAGAAAAGGAAGGAAGGAAGGATGGAAAGAAAGAAAGAATGAAAGGAAGGAAGGAAAGAAAGAAAAGAAAGAAAGGAAGGAAGGAAGGAAGGAAGGAAAAAAAGAAAAGAAAGATGGGGAAGGACGGATGGAAAGAAAGAAAGAAAGAAAGAAAGAAAAGAAAAAAAGAAAGAAAGAAAAAAAAAAAAAAAAAAGAAAGAAAGAAAGGAAGGAAGGAAGGAAGGATGGAAAGAAAGAAAGAATGAAAGGAAGGAAGGAAATAAAGAAAGAAAGGAAGGAAGGGAGGAAGAAAGAAAGAAAGAAAAAAGAAAGAAAGAAAGAAAGGAAGGAAGGAAGGATGGAAAGAAAGAAAGAATGAAAGGAAGGAAGGAAAGAAAGAAAGAAAGAAAGGAAGGAAGGGAGGAAAGAAAGAAAGAAAGAAAGAAAGATAGGAAAGAAAGAAAAGAAAGAAAGAAAAGAAAGAAAGAAAGAAAAAGAAAGAAAGAAAGAAAAAGAAATAAAGAAAAAGAAAGAAAGAAAGGAAGGAAGGAAGGATGGAAAGAAAGAAAGAAGGAAAGAAAGGAAGAAAGAAAGAAAGGGAAGGAAGGAAGGGAGGAAGGAATGAAAAGAAAAGAAGAAAGATAGGAAGGACGGATGGAAGGAAGAAAAGAAAGAAAGAAAGAAAGAAAAAAGAAAGAAAAAGAAAGAATGAAAAGAAAGAAATGGAAAGAAAGAAAGAAAAGAAAGAAATAAAGAAAAAAAGAAAAAAAAAAGAAAGGAAGGATGGAAAGAAAGAGAAATGAAAGGAAGGAAAGAAAAGAAAGAAAGAAAGGAAGGAAGGAAGGGAGGAAGGAATGAAAGAAAGAAAGAAAGATAGGAAGGACGGATGAAAAGAAAGAAAGAAAGAAAGAAAGGAAGGAAGGAAGGATGGAAAGAAAGAATGAAAGAAAGGAAGGAAAGAAAGGAAGGAAGGATGGAAAGAAAGAAAGGAAGGAAGGAAGGAAGGATGGAAAGAAAGAAAGAAAGAAAGAAAGAAAGAAAGAAAGAAAGAAAGATGCTGAGGCCTACAAAGTTCAACAAAAACAACTGGAAATCAGAACATAATTTTTAGAAGCAAAGAGAAGTCCTTAAATTATTAGCCTTTCACACCACATAAAATGCTGCCTGAACTCTTTCTAGCCACCATGATGGCAATCGCCTCTTATTCCAAGGAAGGAATCTAATAAGAATCATTTATACGGCCTACAACATTTTAGTAGGGGCAGATATGGCACTATTTGCTGCACTGTTTAACAGTAAAATAACAGTCATTTTGGTTACATGCGGCTCATTGGAAGAGGAGAGAATATTTGAAAAAAATAGAAAGGCTGTGCTTTCATGAGGTTCAAAAGTGTAGACATGGGTTTGGTTTGCACAAGAATCAAAAGTTTAAACATCGGTTTGTTTTGCATGGAGGTCAAAAAACGAGCCAGGATTTTGCTTGCACGAGAGTCAAAATGTTATATATTGATATGCTTTGCAAGAGAGCTATAAAGGCTTGTTTTTAACGAAAATCAAATGATATATGTCTATATCTCTGAGATCAGGTATTATGGTTACTTACATTATTTACATTATTCGGATTGTCATCCTCATCATCATTGCTATATTCACAACATTTCGGCCGTTGTACGCCCCGGCCTTCATTAGGTGATCGGAATTTCGAATCGAACCCTTTATTTCGTTCACCGGCGAAGACTGTTCTAGTTCCACGTGCCATTCCACTTCCAGATGTGTCAGTTATTTCCCTCATAGACACATGGACCAGTGGATAAAGGCGTTGGCTATATCCAGTTACAAGACCGAAGGAGTTATAACTTCAATACCAGGGAATGTAGACCAAAACTTGGAGAAAAAAAGAAAAATAACTGAGACATCTGAAACGGATGAAACGATGTGAATATGGCAATGTAGATGAGGATAACAGTCCGAAAAATGTAAGAATCAAATGTTTATACCTCGATTGTATTTGCAGGAGAGACTAAACGGTAAACTGGGGGTTTGTTTGAACGAGAGTCAGAAGGTTAGACGCAGGTTTGTTTTTCATGAGAGTCAAATGAGCAAACAGGGGTGTTGTTTAAACGATAAGATGTTAGACATGTTTGTTATGTGTGAGATTAAAAAATGGGGAGAATGGTTTAGTTTTCACGAGAGTCAAAAGGTATCTTCTGTTTGTTTTCGGCGTAGATTTGTCTTTCTCGAAATAACATTAGTAATAGAGAGATTTCATTTTCAGTAATGTCAAAAACTATCTTATGTTTTGTTTTTTTCGACGTAGGTTTGCCTTGCTCGAAAAAAACATTAATACGAGAGAAGTTTGGCTTGCACGAAAGTCAAAAGTAGCTATTTTGTAATCTCATACAATTTTCTTACACTTTTTTGTACCTATGGAATACAGTAAAAACTTGCAAATTTCGCTTGTGCTGATTCTTAATTAGAGTTCTGATTTGAATAAATATTTCTAATTTAGTGTATTTAATACAAAACAAGAAGGCACATTGGAGTAATGGATTGAGGAATTGGAGAGCCGAGTTCGAATTCCAGTCGGATCCATTGCATTCATTTATGTTCTAATACCCTTGGGAAAGATATGAATCTTCATCTTCTAAATAAATAGCAGGACAGATTGGGTTCCATAGCCTTGGCTGGCTACCGGTCTAGGAGGGAAAAAATCTCTGAATTCAAAACTGTCCTGGGGAGGGTTGGGCTCTGTCATCCTATCATACCCAAGAAACAACACTTCTACTGACGCTACGACCCTATTGGTCATGTAAAAAATCTATTAGAAAATATATCAATTTTATTAGATTTATTCTTGATATAGTAAATTAAAGTCAATTAGTATGCAAAACCCTGCGGAAATCAAGTATTTCTTTACATTCTTTCTGACGATATTTATATTTAAATGCTCAGTGTGCTTAAAGCTATGAATTCAGTACTTGGTGTCAGTAATTAGCTCATCAGAATCCAGCTTTTACATTGAATGCAGTTTGAATTTTCTAAACAAAAAAAAACAAACAAAACAAACAATCTACCCTGATATCTAATAGCACCCGGGAGAACTGTGTGATGCAGTCGAAGCACTTGTGATACAAAAATCAAGCACCACGATGAGCCACATACGCTGTTTTTGATAAGCTGAGAAGAACTTTGTCCAAGATCAAACACTTAGCTGAAAAAATGACAGGTGGCTGTGCGCCAGACTCATTGAAGACCCCGCAGTTCGTAAACTAAGTCCCCGTCGCAATGCCTTCACAAGTGCTTATGATCAATGTCACCGATTAAATCGTGACATTGGGTACGATAAGTAGATCGTGGAAAGCTGTATAGGCACCAATAAGAATCCACTCAATCATTGACGGCTGACAAGACCCAAGAATGGTTGATCGAACTTTTTCAGGATCGTGTTACTCCTAAAATTTATACTCTTTGCTCTCCTGATTTAAACCCCATGGACTATTACGTCCGGGGCGTTGTTGGTAAAGATGTCAACAAACATGCCCGTATTGCCGATGACTTGCTGAAGGATGTTACTGGAGACGTAAGCCCAACATGAATAATGGATACTTGAACAAGGCATGTAATTATTTTTAATTGAAGCGGGTAGAGGTCATATTAAATAGATGATTTTTGTAGGAACAATTGTACTAAATTATATAAACATATAGTGTTCTCTGAGATGAATAATATGATTAAATAAAAATTAAAACCGGTTCGCAAGTTCCTGACATAAACCTGTAAATTCAAAGAGAATGTTTGACTTAAAAATTTGATCTTTCAGAAATACACGGTTAATCTTTGGTATTCTGATACATAAAAAAAATAATAAGATAAATGAATAGATAGATAAGCTGATACATATATAAATAATGAGATAGATAGATAGATAGATAGATAGAGATAGATAGATAGATGAACGCATACATGTGAACAGAACGAGTCAGATAGACAGACGGACACATAGATAGATAGATAGATAGATAGATAGATAGATAGATAATGTTTATAAAAATATCTCTGACTTTCTGTCTGTCACTATATCTTTCTCTCAAAATACTTAGTAAGAACACATATATAAGAGCATATTCTCATAGATATATAGATAAATACATATAAACACAGGTGAGATAGATAGATAGATAGAGAGATAGATAGATAGGCAGACAGACAGACAGACAGATAGATAGATAGATAGATATGTTTATACACATCTCTCTGACTTTCTATCTGCCTGTCAGTCTATCTATCTCTCTATCTATCTCTCTCTCTCTCTCTCTACACACACACACACACACACACACACATATATATATATATATATATATTTACTTGGAAAAGAACACATATATAAGAGCATGTTCTCATAAATATATAGATATGTAGATAGATACATATGAACACAACTGAGATAGATAGATAGATAGATATGAAGACTGAGATAGATAGATAGATAGATAGATAGATAGATAGATAGATAGATAGATAGATAGATAGATAGATGGATAGATAGATAGATATGAAGCTGAGATAGATAGATAGATAGATGGATAGATAGATAGATAGATGATAGATATGAAGACTGAAAACTGATAGATGAATGAATGGATAGATAGATAGATATGAAGTTGGGATAGATAGATGGATAGATAGATATGAAGACTGAAATAGATAGATAGATAGATAGATAGATAGATGAATAGATGTGAAATGGGATAGATAGATGGATAGATAGATAGATAGATAGATAGATAGATATGAAGACTGAAATAGATAGAGAGATAGATAGATAGATAGATAGATAGATAGATAGATATTGGTAATATTAAGCGTTTCCTTACAAGGAATCAATTGGCATTCATTGACCGCACTCTCAGTGCTACAGTAGGTTGACATTTATAAAATGTCTTTCTTGAAATGATTTTTAAAAATTTTTTTTCATGTCCAGTAACTTTGAATTGCTCTTTCCAGTACGGACGGGGATTTCCTTACTAACCTTTTGTTTGATGTAGGCGGGAAAGCGAACATCTTGATTATATCATAATTTTTCTCTTCCAGTAATATCCATTATCTTCTTCGTGCTGTTGAAAGCCTTAAGTGATATGGTTTCTCTTATTTTGGTACGCTTCTTTGTTTGTGATTTTGGAGCGCCTGTCCACGACGAAATTGTGGTCTTTGCTAAGCTTTGATCGATTTTCAGGATGAGTTGTTATTAAAACACCCTGGACCTTTCAGACGATCATCGCCCGCTTCGCCCGCTTCTTAATCTCACCTGACAAAGCAGATGCGAGAAGAAAAATGTCAAAATAATGCACTATAACAGAAAACCTATTTGGGTTATTCTACAGAAACTCGAAACATAAAATTTCGAGTAGTCGCTTTAAAACCAAAATATTCTGCATTCTCTTGGCTTCTGAAACTGTTTCCATTCTTTAAGAACACGTCGTTTATTTATAGAGATTTGGAAGACAGATTCCTGACAATTCCAATAAACAGACAATTGCGAAGAAAACATCTAAGTTCTGCTATTCCCAAGCACCGAGAACATTATCTGAAGATTTCGCACAATCCTTTCAAGAAAGCCGACCCGAAAAACAGCACAATATTTCCGACCAAGGTAGTATAATAGATATAGGGAAATGACATATTGCAAATTTAGTTATACATGAATTATTCGTGTAGTGTGTATATTTGAACATAATAAAATCAACAGAGCGTGAAAAAAAAGTACTCGGAACGCGGGAAATGCAAGTTCGTTTGCTGTTCGTGCGATGCGTGTTGCAAAATTGGTTTATTATATTTGGAGGAACTCTGCGAGGAAAAGAAGTTCCGTTTGCACGAATTGCAATTCACAAATTTGACGGTATTCTTCGTCTTTTAGCAGCATTAACTTTTTATTCAATATCAGTAATCTATAACATCAATAATAGAACGCCCAAATGATACTATCATATGCATTCATAGAATAACATACACGCTCTTGCGCGCGCAAAACACACTCTAGAACGCATATAATTTTATCATTTTAATCGTTAGTTCTGCTGGATGCTCGCATTTGAGTAGACGCTCCGTTTATTTATTAAAACGTATATTTATTCATTTTTTGTCTACTGGCTTGAAAACTGGCGCAGTCTTAATAAATGTGGACGTTCTCTTGCGGAGAAAAAGATTACTTTCATTTTTTTTTAATAAAGATTTCTCGAACATTAAAATGTATTTACTATTTTTTGTATTCGTCAACCAATAGGAGTAGATAGGTCCGGCTATCGTTCGGTTCACACTCCTCCCCTGTCATTTGAACAGGAGTAGAGGTTTACCCCTTGTTTCAAGTTTCGGATTGGGGTTTCCCGTTCCTTCTGAAGTTTTCGTTCCGTTCACACACCTCTCCTGTGTTTTGAACAGGAGTAGAGGTTTATCCATTTCCCAGTTTGAGATTAGGTTTCCCGTTCCTTCTCAAGTATCCACATTCTCTTTCACTTCAAGTAGCCGCCTTTTAATCTCGCCTTGCTTGGTGTGAATTGTTTAAGTAGTAGAATACCCGACTGACGCCAATTCAGTCGGGTTTTGATCCTAGCTAGAGGCTACCGGACGTCTAGCCACATTGCTAAGCTGTGATACAGTGAAACATTTTTGTCTGTTGAAAACAGTATATATATATATATATATATATATATATATATATATATATATATATATATGTGAGTGTGTGTGTGTGTGTGTGTGTGTGTGTGTGTGTGTGTAAAATTTTCTTAAAACTACCCTGTAGAAAAAGACAATATGTATAAAGAGAAAAAGAGAATAGGAAAGCGGCAGTTTTAGCCCACGCGTTTCGTCCAATGTGGACATTTTCAAGGTAAAACTAAATGAATTTATTGAAGCAATGTATTTATAAACAACAAACAAAATGTCGTTAGCAATTAGAAGAATTTATACCATTTAAGCGTTAAATTTTCCAAGGCATCTTTTCTTAATATGCGCCCCAAGAAATTTTATCTCTGTTATTCCCTATTTTCATAAAAGATAAATGTTGTTTTTTTTGGGTTTTTTTTGTTACGATTTTATATTTTAAAATGTGGGAGACACATATATTAGCTCTATACTACATTTTCCGACTAAGGATGGGTAAGTGAATGACAATATATATATTATATATTATAGACTGTTTCGCTGTATCACAGCTCATCAGGTGGCTAGACTTCCGATTGTCTCAACCCAGGTTCGAAACTGAACTGGCGTCAGTCGGAGATTTTTCCCTTAAGCTATCAGCACCCGGCAGAGAGAAAGGTGAATGTTTACTTAATTATTCTTGAATAAGCACGCCACTGACTCAATAAAAACATTTCATTGTTTAAAAAAACTATGTATTTTCTCAAATATTACATTTATGAGAAACAGTGAATAAGAGGAAGAGAGAAAGATATAGAAAGATAGCAAAAAAGAATAACAAAGAAAAAGCTTCTGTTACTTCTTTTATTAGTCCTTAAGCAGCATCATCTAACGGCATCTTGCTAGACCAAGTCAGGGTTAACTGCATAAAAGCTAACACTCCGCTAAGTGGTGACACCATCGATATTCCTAAATTTTACGCATCAAAATTATTATAAATTTGATCAGTCCGCAATTTTTTAAAATTTTATCAGTTAGTAGAGGCTAGTTTATTTTTGATCGTAATGTTTTTAAATAAAAGTCTAGTATATTAAAAAATAAACTTTTCCCTGCCAAAAGATATGGGTATAAAAATATGGCTGTATTATTTTTATTGTAAGTTTTTAAGCATTGGATACAATTCATTTGAGCTCTGTGTGTTTTTGTGTGTGTGTGTGTGTGTTTTTTTTTGTGTGTGTGTGTGTGTGTGTGTGTGTGTGTGTGTGTGTGTGTGTGTGTGTGTGTGTCTAAGTTCAGCTGGGTTCGTTTCCTTCTTATGTCGGCGAACCCATCATCTGAGACCCGATTCTGCACTTGGTGGCTATGTGTAAACCTTCTCAGTCAACTTTTAGAACAGCTCGACATTTTGGCATTCTTTGATGATTGAGTGCAAAGCTTACTTTGTTATCCCAACTTTCTCGTACGATCAGCGAACTTAAGCAACGTTTAACCTTGTAAGTACCTAGATGGGTGACCGCTTCGGAATACCAAGTGCTGTAATCGTTTTTGTGCATGTTCTGTAATGGTGATGTTTTGGAGCTATTAATAGGATAACTGAGTTCCAATCCCCATTAGGTTCGTTATATTTACTCATGAACAAACACCACTTCTGCTCCAGCTACGGGTTAATTTATAAGATTTGTATCACTGAAGCATCATCCTCTCTACCCGACAAAAATTATTACAATCTAAAATACAATCTAGCTTAAAATAACCTCCAAAATGTGGAGAAATCATGGAAAACGAAACAATTAATGAATTACATGGTACTGGCTGTGGTTACCACAGAACAAAATCGAAGATACCTGATGGGCAGTGTATTAGACGCAGAACTGTATTATTTCCAAGTGGAAATCACATACTAGACTATAAATCGACCTAGTCATGCTACCTTGCTAAAACTGACTCTATGTTAACGCCGACGTAGCGATCAAAATAACAATGATATTTTATTAGAGAAATGAATAAACGTTTTTCTGAGTATATTTGAGTTAAATTTTCAGCATAAAATTGTTGATTTATGCAGAAGGTCTCAGTTAACGGTTTTCTTTTCTGTCTTCTTGTAATCTATCCTTAGTCCCTTCTTCTCGCTCTCCTTCGCTACCTTCTGTAGGAGGTTTTGTAGATCCTGTCTGCTGTCAGCACTGTGTCATCTGCATATCTTATGTTGTTAAGATTTTCGCCGCCAACGATGAATCCTGGTAGGATTTCCACTTCTCTTAGAATTGCCTCGCTGTGTATATTGAATAAGTCCGGTGAGAAAACACATCCTTGTCTTACCCCTCTTTCTATTTTGGTATATCTGCTGAAATATATTTTTTTTTATTCGTATGCAGGCGGTTTGCTGCAAGTAAATGTTTTGGATTATTCTAATGTCTTTCCCTAATATATCAAAGTTTCTAAGCAGTTCTCTGCAAGTCTTTGTGACGTACTTTGTCGAAAGCCTTTGCGTTGTCTATAAAACATCGGTACACGTTTTTCTGCATTTGCATTGCTTTTTCTGATAACATTCTGAGAATAAAAACCGCGGTCTATGTTCTTGTCTTATCTCTGGTCTAATACCACTATC